TTGTTGTATTTGTTTTTTCGCCGAACATCCTGCGACAGATGTGCACGTACATCAAATTCATTGTGACAGCAGCAGCCGGCAAAGCATCACAGATACAGGCATATCTGCACACTGATCGCTCGTGCAGACGCACTGAATTGTACATACATACGTTGATTGGATCCTAAGGATTTTGAAAAATAGGGCAAACACAAAAAACGGCTCACTTTTTTAACAAATGCACGAAAAAATATGCTCTAATAACGCTTGAAATTTACCCGCCTGCACTTTGTCACATTCAAGTGGTTACCCCGCCAGCCTAAGACCTAGGTACAAAATTGTCCTGCGCCTAGTGGCAGTATTTACATTTGATGTGCTCGCAATTGTCACGGCACCGAAACCAATACGCTTCAATTGCTTTTTCTTTCTATTCAGTGTACAATAGGGTGGTCCAAAATAAATAAAGTCGGAATTTTAATGCTTTCACCCCCTAGAATTTTTCTATATCGAAAAAAATAAACCTCTATTTTTATTTTCTATTTATTTTATATTTTGAAATCAAAAAATATTTAGAGGTCGCTCAAAGCGCTCAAAGTTTTCCATGTACTTTATATGGAAAAAAACAACTTTTCGTAGAAATGGTATAGAATTCTTGAAAATCAATACTTATTCAACCATTTTTTAATACTAACGATTTTTGCATTTTCTGGGGGTTTTGGGGGACCTATAAAATAAAATTACTATAAAAAATGGTAAAATAAATAATTGGGTATTATTAGTGGGAATCATTATTATTATTATTATTATTAGTGGGAATCTCCTGAAGAAAAATAGAACGGCATAGAACAATCCTAGGGGGTGAGAGCATACAAATTCCGACTTTACCTTTTGCACATGCTTTTTTGGGCCACCCTAGTGTACAACCATGCATGCTTCGTTGCGTAAGTTGGAAATTGCGTCAAGATCCCTAAGATCTGCCAGCAAAAAAAAAGAAAACAAATACCCACATATCAGCAGCCAAAGAAAAAAATGTCCACCTTTCCAATTTCCTCCAACAACTTCACTGCTTTCTTCAACTTCCTATTGTCTACGCAGCGGTCCGTACTACACTCTGCTCTGCGCATTGTTTGTTTTGTTCTGGTTATTTGGTGGGTGGTTACGCCACTGCTCGTTCTGCTACCCTTCACTATTAGCACCGATCTCATTGTTCTGCGCACAGGTAGTGTTGCAGTCTCGTCTTTTTTGTGTTGCAATTTTTCTTTCCCGGTTTAAATGCATTTTATTCTGGAGCGTCACAAATCGCACAATGACTAAATTCGTTTTGTCAACTGCCAATTCTTTTATTTTTCTGCATTGTCCCTAACTTTTGGCTTCGCTTTCATAATTGCCATATATTTATTATTTGCGTTAACGTGCTGTAGAAAGTTTTATTATTTAATCTTTTTTTGTACTCACTGGGGCATTCTGATTAAGCGAGTAAAAAGATAGTTGATTTGTATTGTTTACCAATTTTTTAACGGATGTTTATACTGTTGGTGGCGTTGATTGGCTTTATCCAGGTAGGTGGCAAACATATTTTGAAATTCTTGGAACACTAACCAACCAACTGTGGCGGTGTTTAATCTTGCAAATACACCAGCGACGGCGCATATCTTAAGAAAAGTAGTCCTTCGGTGATGTCAGGACAGGATAGGATGGCGCTGAAGTACCGTAGCGTCAGGGATAGAAAACAAAGTATTCTGTAGACTTAGACAAATACTTCAAAACGACTATTTCTGGATCATTCCCATGCCTGTGGTATTTGCATAAAACATCTTAAGCAATGCTCAATATTTTTATGTGAATATCAATAGACCAAGTTTCGGAAGGAATAGCGAAGAGCATCGCAATGCCAGTTTTTGCGTTCCTTAAAAGATTAGATGTTCCTTAGAGTTGATATGCGGACGAACTAATGGCGTTTTCTTTTGTCGGAAAAAATGTCAACTTCTTATATGGCAACATCATCAGAGCGCAACATTTTAAATAAAAAGCACGCAATATGCCTGTGAAGATGCTGAACGAAAACTTGACAGCCCTGGCGCAGAGCAGAATAAAGGCAAAATTTTTTGAGAAAAGAAAACGGTATAAGTTTTGCGAATCCGCAGCCTGACGCTCAACGATCGATTTCTTTGGGGGCTAATGTCACAAACTGCCTCTCTTGTCGGTTCATAGAAAAAGGCGTCTTGCGCGTGAAGGCATACTACGATGACAAAAATCTCAAATTGGGTATACTGAGAGCTTGTTAAAGACATTGCAAATGAGGCTTGATTTAGTTGGGAAAGCCGGTGGGCACAAAACCAGAGCGCAAATAGGTTGTATGAATTAATACATGCATCCACTAGAAAAAGTTTTTTATACAATATTCATGTGTTTTATTAAAAAAAAGTATTCGTTATATTTTAACAGAAATATAGTTCATTCTAAAATATAAATTATTTACATGTAAGTTTGAAACTTTATCTAAAATTAAGAAAACATCCTAGAAAATTTCTAACTTTTTTGTAAAATTTTGTAGTATAATAGTTTGCTGGTTTTGAAATTGCTAAAAAATCTCATTAATTTCTAAATTGTTTTTTTTTTCTGTAAGTGTGGTGCTTTTTCTTACATATCGGTATTTCCGATCTGGTGCTGGAAACGCCCATATAAAAATTAAAAAAAAAATCCTTATAATTTTATTTGTAAATTTAGAAAAAATTTTAAACTTATATTGAAACGGTTTAAACAAGGTGGCGCAAAAGTAATGTCATAATGTGAATAAGCTACCATTTCGTTAAAAATTAAAAAAAAAACTACCTCTTTTTTACGAAAAGTTTGTTTGAAGATCTAAAACTGATGAATTCTACGTCTTATCCAACGTTCCAGACGAACCACGTCAGCTTATATCTGTGTAAGCCAAACTCACCAATCCATTTTCATAGATTAGGTGAAGTTTGCGTAGAGAAAATGGATAGATGAGTTCAGTCTCAGCGGCTTCTAATTTAAAATAATACTTGCTATCCCGTAACTAAAGAACTAAAATTACACTGGTTTACAGCCAAAATGTTCAATGGATGCCACTATCCAATTCCGTTCTAGAATTTCTCGGTGATTCCTAAAATCCGAGTTGTTTTTTTTTCTATGGATATGTTTTCGAGATATTTGCCGTTATTCAGCTTAAAAAAAGAGTGGTTCCACTTAATCACGTATATTTTACGAAGCAATTAAACAATCGTAATACAAAATACGGGAAATGAAAGCCAATGAAATTCTCCATAAACCGTATAAACATCACTTTCGATAGGCCTGATAGTTTCTGAGAAATGAATTAACAAAAAAATAAAAGAAACATTTCTCTCCTATTATAGTATGATTTTTTTTTAAATTTTTTCATAAGAAAAAAACAAAAAATCTGGAGTTGTAATTTAATTTTCAGAAACCATCAGGCCTATCGAAAGTGATTTTTATACGGTTTATGGAGAATTTCATTGGCTTTTATTTGCCGTATTTCGTATTCCGATGTATATGATATAGAGTGTATATTAAAGATTTAACTGACAAATTTTTAAAGGGTGTCTCGATATAGGGCCTGAGATATTAATTGTTTCGTACAGTAGTGACTGATGAAAAAATTAAAAAAATAAAATTTTTCAAATAAAATTTGATCAAATACGTCAAGTGGGCCACTTAAAAATCTTTTTTTTTCGGATAACCATGATAGTTACGTAATTTGCTAGAGGTCCAGGTAATATTTGTTTACCTATACTTTATTTTGCAATAATCCTCTTACTTTGCGAAAAATCGCGAATTTAATATTAACATAATCATTTCTTTTATTGGTCATATCTCCTGAACGGGCAGAGATAACTTAATCATTTTGGTTTAAATAAAACGAAAAACTCCATCTGTTTAGCACGAATTTTTAAGTTTTTCATTTTTAATGTTATGATAAATAAAAATACTTCTTTGTTTTTTTTTCTAAATAAAAAAAAAATCTTGACGTGCTAGAAAAATCCAAACGTTCTGCATACGTTGGACCTAAAAAACAAATAAAAAATTTTTTATAAATCTCTGACTCTTTGTCAATAGAAAAGTACTAATTGATTTTTTTAATACAACCAATATTTATCGCGTTATGATGTGATAAACAATGGCTTACGGCGATACACCTAATATTTTGGATGTTGTATAACTTTTGCAAGTTTTTTATTTTTTTACATTCCTCGTATTTTGCCATATCTTAGAGGTATTTTTATTTACATTATACTCAGTTTATATCAAAATCGAAAGAAGTAATCATAATTTTCATTGGAATGCCTCATATCGTCGTTTAAAGTACAAAACCGCGTATCATTTCGCAAAACCGCGTAACTGTCAGTTGCTGCCAAAAATTAGTTTTGCTCACAGAGGCTCTTGGCTCATTCGTCCTGCAATATACTACCCAGAAATGCCATTGCTTTATAAAAAAGATAACCGTTTTGAAATATGAGTGTTTTTACTCTCTAGAAAATAATTTATGCAACCTCACATACGCGGTTTTGCATTATCTTGATACGCGGTTTTGTACTTTAAACGACGATATATAATTCTTATGTACGTGAGTTTGTGAGTGAACCGATTTTAACGAAATTTTTTAGTTAGTATCTAGATAGTATA